CCGTTTTTTGTGAAAACGTTTTTGGGAGGTTTGCAGAGTGCAAAAACTTTTTTCAAAAACATTTGCCTCTTCAAAACCTTGATGCATCTTACACTCTGAAAAATACGGTAACTGTAGCCTTCAGTGACTCCACACCTCACCTCAAAATAATCCTGTCAGGGTTCCAAATAACATACCCATCTCAAAATGTCAACCCTGAAGCTAGCCTGATGGAGGCCATTTTGAGACTTTGGTGCTTGCTGGCAAATCCTGAATCTGTTTTTAATGAAAGCCCATCCTTTTCCGTAGATCACGGTGACGGAGGAGATGACGGCTCCCGCCACGGCTTCGCAGGACGATGGAGGCCAGGAATGGGAGACTGAAGTGGGGGATGACTTCAGCCTCTTCTACGACAGCTACTCTGTGGACGGCCACATGGATTCGGACAGCAAGGTGTGTAGGATAAGATGGTGAACGTCTGAGTCGTTTAGCCAGTGTTTCTCAACCTTAGCGAGTTGAAGATGTGCGGACTTCAACTCCCAGAATTCCCAAGCCAGCCATGCTGGCTGGAGAATTCTGGGAGTTGAAATCCGCACATCTTCAACTCGCCAAAGTTCTGAAAGACTTTATGAATCCCTTAAGACTCCTTCAAGAAGTGCAGGATGGTGCAATTTACTAAAAAAAAATTAACCCCTTTGCTCAACTGCCAGGATCCTGCTATTGTAACTCAGCCCAGGGTGCTGAGGCTTCCTTCGGTTTGGGAGGTGGCTTTTTAATTTCCCAGAATGCTGTTGTGTTAAAGGCACTGTGGAGAATTAAGATGTCTGCCCATTGGGATAACTCGGGCTTCCTCTCAAGCTAAATGGGGCCTTTCTTAATCTTGTGGTTTTTGACACAGCCAGATGTTCAGACTGGATTTGGTAATTTTGTCCCCCTGTCGAGTCCTTCCCAAGGACCTAAGATGGGCAGATGTGGATGTTTGATGGTGTTACAAATATCGCCGCTGGTTGGAATCTGTTCATATTTATTATTACAAGATTTATATCCTGCTTTTCATGCCATTCCAGTTGGTCCATCCACCTCCTATTGTCCCCACTACAACAGCTCTGTGAAGTTGTTGGCTTGGGATGAAGACACTGGCCTCAATTTACCCAGCTGGCTTTTGTGCATCAAGGACTACAAGAACTCACAGTCTCCCAGTTTCTAGGCCAATACCTAAACTAATAGATCAAACTGTAGTAATAGCAACAGACGGTGGGGGGGTGTCCAAACTCGATTTTATTGAGGGCTGCATCAGGGTTGTGATTGACCTCGAGACAGGGGCGGGGGGTAGAGTAGGTGTGGCCAGGGTGGGTGTGGTCAGCTCGACATCACTTGGGTCGGGGGTGCCTATGGTGGCATGAATACTTGGTCAGCGAAAATGGACTCCCGAGCACCGTTTTCGGCTGCGACAGCCTCCTGCAATCTTCTGCCAGTGAAAAAGGAACTCAGGAGGGCCGCATGCGGTCCTCCCGAACTCCGTATTCGCTGGTAGCGGCACCGCGGGCCAGTCCTTCACTGTTTCCAGGGCGGCCCCCATGGACCAGATCTAAGCACCCCGTGGGGCAGATTTGGCCCCCGGGCCTTGAGTTTGACACCCATGACTTAGACTTATATACAGTGCTTTACAGTGCTTTACAGCTGTCGTAAGCAGTTTAGAGACAGTAGGTTGCCCCCAACCATCTGGGTCCTCATTTTACCGACCTTGGAAGGATGGAAGGCTGAGTCAACCTTGAGCTGGTGAAGATCAAACTGCTGACAGTCAGCAGAATTAGCCTGCCATACTGCCATTCTAACCACTGCTCCTATTATAAGTGGTCTATGTTTAGTGATCACTCATTCAGTGACTATTCAAACTTATGAAACACTGAACTTCAGGACTGGCCCTGGGAGCCTGGCTTTCACAGTGTCCCTGCTGTCATGATTTGCTTAACAGCAGCCAGGAGTACCAGTTTCTGTCACTAAGNATGGCCCCTCCCAGAGGAAATAAAAGAGGAGCGAAAGGGGAGTGGAGTTTGCAGGAGACAATTAGTTCGCTTAATTGGTTCGTGACTCTCTGAGGTTCCTTGCCAAGTTTTGCAGATATCGGCCTGTCAGCTCTCCAAGCTAGATAAGGTCTGTGACTGTAAATCCTCCCTTGAGAGACTTTGTTGGATGTGAATGAGAAGAATTTATAGTAAATTAATAAAAGGTGTTTTTTTGTCGGGACAAGGAGTTTTCTTCATGCTCTTGGGAAGCCTCGGTCAGAACATAAGGTAAGTGTGTCAAACTCGCAGCTCACAGGGCAGAGGCATCACACATTGACCATGCCAACCCCCGTTTTAGCGAGGGGGGGGGAGAAAGTTGGGATAGGTCATGTGATGACAACGTGACAATGCGAGTTTGACACCTTTATCCTAAGGGCTGAGGATTGAGTTTAGGGACCACCTGTTTGATTAAAGAACTTATTTGCATGAGTGATGATGAGTTTCAAGTGGTGACTTTGTTGAGTAAGGAGCAGAAGCTCTGAGAAGGAAGAGACAAAAGCTTTTAAAATGCAGGAAAAGTATCTGTAGATCCGGGTGTTAAAATGAAGCCCTGATAGTAACTGGGGAAGTGAGTCTTGCTGATAATACAGGTAGTCCTTGACTTACAATGGTTCATTTAGAGACCGTTCAAAGTTACAATGGCACTGAAAAAAGTTACTTGTGACCATTTTTCACACTTAAGACCATTGCAGCATCCCCATGGCTCCATGATCAAAATTCCATCACTTAGCAACTGACTCATATTTATGACGGTTGCAGTGTCATGGGATCACATTTTGGGGCCATGACAAGCAAAGTCCACGGGGGAAGCCAAAGTTACTTAACCGCCGTGTTGCTCCCTTAACAACTTCAGTGATTCTCTTAACAACACTGGCAAGAAAGGTCGTAAAACGAGGCAAAACTCGCTTTAACGATGGTCTCACAGCAACAGAAATTTGGAGCTCAATTGAGGTCATATGTCGAGGACTGCCTTTATGTCTCTGTAGCTAGTCTGGCTTATTAACGGTTGAGAATTTAAAATATTCCTGGCAGGGGAATTCTGAGAGTTGAAGTCCATCCCTCTTAGAGTCAAATTTGAGTTTGAGAAACATTTTTGAAGTTGTTCTGAATGGGGAAAAGACCCGCGTGTCTTTATTTTGCATAACTTTGATGCCAGCATTTGAGAAGTGGTAGAGAAGCAGAAAGCATCTCCTCCTTCCTAAGTACCATATTTTTGGGAGTATAAGACGCACCTTTTTTCCTCAAAAAAGAGGCTGAAAATCTGGGTGCGTGTTATACACTGAATACAGCAGTTTGTTTGTTTGTTTGTTTATTGGATTTATATGCCGCCCTTCTCCCAAGGACTCAGAGCGGAGTACAACATAAAAAACAAACAAACACATATTACAAAAGTTAAAAAAAATTAGATAGAAATCCAAAACCCAATTAAGATTAACAATAACATTTAAAATTCNGACTAGAAGACCTCCAAGGTCCCTTCCGTGTCTTTTATTCTTTTATTCTGACATTATCCAAAGCACCAAAAGGCAGGACAGGAAGTAACGGATAGAGGAGCATTAAAGAGCAATTAAAGAAATAAGAAAGGATTTCCCGAGACAGAAGAGGGGGAGAGAGAGAGAGGGAGAGGGAGGGATAGAGGGAGAGGGATAGAGAAGGGGGAGGGAGAGAGATACAGAATAGCCTGTCTCCAGGAATTGTGGGTGCTCCACTGGACTAGAGTGGACAACCATTTGACCTGGGTCCCTTCCAGCCCTCGGAGTCTATATTCCAAAATGGGCCATACTGGAGTTAAAGAATATTATTTAGTCTGCAAGCTGTAGAGAACCATTTGGTGGTGTGGTTAAAGGCCCTGCATTGGAAAACCAGAGGGGGTGAGTTCCAGTTCTGTCTTGGGCACGAAGCCGGCTGCCTAGTCCTCAGGCCGGCCCTTCTCAGGGGAAGGAAATGGCAAAGCGCCATTTCTGAAAAGATTGCTGAGAAACCTTGAAGGAATTCTCCAAAAGGATCCCAGGAATATGCAAATGAACTTCAGGCTGGGAAATAAAAGCCCGGAATGGAGTGGATGGAAGGGAGGCTCCAGAGACAGTCCGGCACCCCCCTTCGCTCAGAGACGCCGGCTGGCTGTGCCTGGGAACCCAGAACCCCCCTCGGCCACCTGGAGCGGAGCTCCTGCTAGCCCAAATGGGCCTTTCAAGGGGTGCGTGGGGAGGGCGCCCCACAGAAGACGGGGCCAGGAACCCCTGAAACAAGGCGGGAAATTAAAGCAGAGGGAAGACCTGGATGGAGACAAGCGCTCAGGAGGTGATTGTAAGTCTGGGCAGGCTGCCCAGACTAGAGATAACAGCAGGTCCTGAAAACACCCAAGGAATTCAGGCAATATCAGAACTCGGGTTTCCCTGCCGATTGGGGTTGGGGAAGAGAGGAAGGCAGAACTCGGGGCCATCGCTTCAACCAAACCATGCAACTGTAGGAGCTTCAAAGGAACATCGAGTACAGGAAGGCCTGGGGCTTCCTCCCCAGTCTGCTTGCAAGCCAGGAACGCTCAAGCTGGCTCTCGCCTGCCTCTTGCCTTCCTTAATGAAAGAAATTCCGCTTTCTGGCAGCTGGCTTCCGTCTCCATTCCTCCTCAGCGACTGCCTCCCAGCTGGAGAACAAGCTCAGGAAACGTTCTTCCCAGCAGCAGCCCACCCTGCACTAGGGAGCCAAAGGCACAGGGAGCCCCCCCAGTTGGCGGATGTTGAGATCCATTACCAGTTCTGTGTATAGGGCGGCTATGGCTGTCTGGAAACACAGGCCCAGAGATGGATGCTAACAAAAACATTCTTGTTAGCAATAAAAAGTAATTAGTGTGCCTCTCTGTACCAGTTTATTTAGCAGTTAGCACCTCAAAGAAATGCAGGAATGCGAGCTGCTCGCCTTCCCCCACTGCCCCTATCTCTTCACTTCCCTCCCTTCTCATCTATCTATCTTCTCCTGTCCAAGGACAAGCAGCCCCCCTTCTTTCATCCACCTCTTCTCTTTTGCCCAG